TTTTTTCTTATGTTTGTGCTGGATTTCTTTTCTTTTTTTCGTTTATTGTGTGTTCTTCGCATGAGCTTGTGTGATTATGTGTTCCTTTCATATGCTTTTTGGTCAAGCAATGAGGACATTACTTTGTTTTAAGTGTAGGGAAGGATTTTCTTGATTATGCATGCTTATGCGTTGTTTCTTTTATTTTAGGTGTTTTATCTAATGTTTTGTGCGTCGTGGACCTGTTTTTTTTTATTAGTCCTTGTCTGTTTGTGTCGATTACCCTTCATGAAACTTAATGTTTGGTCAAGTCAAAATGACTAGTTGTGAGTTGAGAATGTTGAATGGATTCATTTTTAATTATTGTGCCTTAGGTACTTGATGATTTGGATACCGGTTTCCTAAATTAAATGAGGATTTGTTGAAATTGGAATCCGCATTTGAATTCACGAGATTATTTTGTCCCTTGTTTGTTCTCGATTGGTTATCTTGAAACATTCTTGCCTTGTGTTCGATTGTTGTAATCGTGTTATGCTTAGACGCATGTGGTACGTCTTGTTGATTGTTGATGTTATATTATTGTATTTTTGATGTATCCTTGTGTTGCTACTCCCTTCGTAAAAAAAAAAAGAAGAAAGAAAAAAAGAAAAAGAAAATAAAATATGATTTCGCGAGGAAGTACGGATTACACTCCTCTTATTTCGATCTACTTCGTAGAATAAGATAATGAGCCCGGGAAACTACTCTAGGAGACTCGAGGAAATCCCTCGAGGTTACACTTTGATAATAATCGTCCAGAACCTCGTTTGGAAAAAAGGTAGCTCACGAAAAAAATTGTATAAAATGAACTCGTGAGAGTAGAAGGGATTAGACTCCGCTTGATCCGATTAGTCTCCTTCTAGATGGATCGGGTCTATGAGTACGGGAAACCAGCCTAGGAGACTCGGGGACAAACCCCGAGGTTAAACTTAGGTAATAATTGTCCAGAAGATTCTCATTTGCAAAAAGTGACTCATGTAAGAGAGAGAGAGAGAGAGAGAGAGAGAGAGAGAAGGAAAATATTAAAAAAAAAAAGAAGAAGAAGGGGGAGTTGGCCTTGTTGATTTCGTGCTTATCATTTCTCACATTTTGAGTAAACCTTCTATTGCTTTTTGCACGTGTATTTGAAAAAAGAGAGTTTGAATCGAGTAACTCATGTGTAGAGTGACTTGGGGCAAGTTTTTATTTTGTATGAATTCATTTAGGGGACCTTATTCTCGAATTTGAGTATAATTCTAAGGATAACTGGAGGAAGAAGAGACTTTCATTTCGCATGATCATTATCTATGAACCTTTCAATCTTTTTTCTCGAGCTACTTGTTGTTTTGTTTGCTTGAGGACAAGCAAAGAGTTAAGTGTGGGGGAGTTGCTTGTTGTGTTTTTGTGGTGTTTTTCGTGCCTTAGTCATGTCTTTTTAAATTCATTTTAGTGTTGACCGGTCCATTTTGTCATGTTTTGTGCATTTTCGCTTTTGTCTTTTTTTGTCTCTTTTGGTGTTGATTAGATCTATTATACGAAGCCTGGGAAAAAGAGTCGTTCGAGTCATTTTCGAGTTATTTCTGAGCCACCCGAACCAGTGTCCAGCCATTCGAACTGTGCAAGAGAGCAAGCCGCGACTAAGCACTCGTAATCCGGGCGCCTCTAGGGCGCGAGAAACCAAGGAGACAGGTCGCGCACTTGCGACCCGAGTAGGCACCTGCGAGGCTGTGAGTTCTGGGTTCGAGAAGACCCGTGCGCTGCAAGCACTCGCGACGCGGGCAGGCATTCGCGGCCACGCGAGTTTCAGGCACTAAGAAGACCTGTGCGAGGCCGACACTCACGGCCTAAGTCCTAGTCGGTGGGTGCGCAAGTTCAACACTAGAGTAGTTGCGGCACTCGCTACCCAGCGCAACAGCTCGCGACCTCGCGAGTGTCGCCAAGGAGCAGCAGCATCGCTCGCGAGTGATGTTCGTGCCACCTAGCCACTCGCTACCCAGTGCAGCAGCATCGCTCGCGACCCGAGCTACTTCCCGCAAGCGCGCGAGTGATGTTCGTGCCACCTAGCCCTCCCTGAGAACCAGCGCCATCGAGCACGCGAGACACCTTCGAGGTGGACTTGTGCCACTCGCTGCGAACCATCACTCACGACCTGACGAGTGCTCACCCAAGGCGACCTAGCACTCGCTGTGAACTCCATTCCACGACCCAGTGAGCTGCCACCCGAGAGGACCCGTGCACACCATATTTTCATTTAATGTGTGTGTTTTAGTGTGAGTTTAGCGTGTTAGTACAAATACATTTGCTCTCCTTGTGTGGGAGCAACTAGACTTCATATATTTCTTTTTTCCCTTTGAGGAAGTGCTCTCTTTTTATTTTTCTCTCTATTTTGTGTTGGAAGCTCCATGACTCATATTTTCGGTGACATTATTTTATGCAAGAAGCTTTTGCCTTCCATTCTCTATGAGCATGCAATAGGAGAGTGATTACTTAGTTTTAAGATTCATTACTCTGTTTTTGTTCTGCTTTTTATTTATGAAGTTTTCAAGGTAAATGTGCTGTTTTGGTAGTTGAATGAAGCAATTTTGGTTCTTTGTACTTTCATTGCTAGATGATTTTATGAGTTAAATACGTGCTTATCTTGTATTAAAGGTTAAATCTTGATCAATTAGTTTAAGAAGGCTCGTGTTAATTACCTAGGATCTTAATGTTAACATGTTTCTCTATGTTTATTTTCGTTTTTCTTAAGTTGTGGAGACTCTGATCAACCAAAGTTCCCATATTTTCTCTCAAAGCTCTCATCTTTCATTAATTGCTTTCAAGTGCTTTCACGCTTAGCTTAATTTAGTGCAAAAATCATCCCCATTAAAGCGAGTAGAATGTTTAGGAGTTTATTTTCCCTTTTTGTCCTCTCGACAACTTATGAGTGTCGAAGCTCCGAATAGTCTTCCTTTGAGAGACGACCCTAGTGAGATCTTCGTTCGTACTTGGCTAAAAACAACTAAATAGTGAGTGAGGGTATGAGCAGGTTGAGTTATGCTAAGGACAATTTTTATGGAAAAGGAATTGCTGCTCATCAAAGATTACATCTCTAGAGATAATGTTCTTTCCCCTAGAAAACAAAGCCACATAACCTTTATTCTTCGAATTGTGACCAAGAAAGATGCACGGAAGAGATATTGATTGAATCCTATGCTTGTTATAGGGTATCAAGTTTGGGAAACAAAGTAAACCAAAAACTCTAAAGGAGCTGAAATCAAGTATGTGATTGTAGAGTCTTTCTAGAGGCAAGAATGAAGTTCAAGTTTAGGATGAGATAAGATAGAAAGTCCCATTTAAGAATGATATATACATATATATATATATATGTATGTATGTATGTATACATATATCAGTTCTAAAGGCATCATCCCAGTATCTAAGGGGCACTTGAGAATGAGATAAGATAGAAAGTTACATTTCCATTATGGTCCCATGTCTTCTCTCAGCCAAAGGGAATGTGTATGGGGGAAGGACATTTTGTGTTGAATCCAAGAATCAATGAAAATTTCAGTGAGAGGCATAAATTCTCCTCCTCCATCACTTTGAACAACTTTAGTTTTATGATTGAGCTGAATTTCAACAATGTTTTTAAATTGAACAAAGACATTGAAAACACCGAACCTCTTGTGTACGAAATAAATCCAAGTAAACCTTGTGAAGTGATCTACAAAGCAAGCATAGTAGTGTGATTTTGAGTGTAAAGTAACTGGTGAGGGGTTCTGTTGTTGTATGAAATTAACAACTTAATTATAAACAGCTGGGTGTGTTTAAACAAAGATTAATATAAAGTTGGATTTTATTGATATGTTCACAAGAGTACAGGAAGTCGGTTTTTTTGTTCTTGACCGAGATCATTTCAAGCCCATGTACAATGTGCGAAAAAGATTCGAAAAAGGATTTCCAAAAAAGATCCACGTACAACCATGAATTCTTCTATTTATAGTTCGGTTGCTTTTGTTTTTTTGTCCGAGGTAGATAAGATCGCATTTAATATTGAGCAGCTTCAATTAAACGGTGTGTAGTGGAATGAGAAAACATCAATGATTGTTGTTTGTTTTGATGGCCCAATCAAATGTATACAGCTCCTTTTGCTTGAAAATTCGATCTTCTCGGATGTCGGATGAGTGGATAATCTTTTGTAGACATAATCATATTGGTGAAGTCGGGTATCGGCTTCTGATAGATGGTTTTACTTCATTGATTATCTTGATGTCGGTTTGACCATCTAGAAGTCGGTGAACAACATATCTAACTGGTACCGACTTGAGCTAAGTTTAGCATTTCTGAGGAATTATTAATCGAACAAAACAACTAATCTTTGGCTCTAACCTCATGAAACCAAGTCGATTATCAACAGAGAGGCCCCCGACATTAGTAGGTATTTGAGCATTTTTTGTCAAATTGCCGCTGATGTCGTTTTTGTCTTTATAACTCCGACTTGGTGGTTTACCGACTTCTCTTCATTTTGCGATCGACATGGGAGCACTTGGTTTATTTTCAACTTTGTCTGCGACAGTTATGTAACGTTTGAACTGACGTGGCAGTTCTCAAAAGACGCATCCGCATTTAATGGGTCCAACGGATAGAATTGTCAAGTTACATGGCGTTTCAGGATTTGCCCACGTTTGTTAATCATTACTGTAACGTTGCACCATTTAGTGACACGTCCGTTACACGCGCCGATCTCGGGTTTGATCAACGGCTACAAATCAAAACCTATAAATTGCTATCGGTTTTGACTGTAAAGGGTTTCTTCACCTTTAATCTTCGCATTCTTTGCTTTCGTCTTTGCATCCATATTCCCTTGAATTTCTCTTTCCGTTTCATCTCGTGCAATTCGTGTAATTTCTCTGTATCTTCTTCAGTTTAGTGCGTTGAGATCTTCGGTAAGGCTTTGCCCTAATTTTTATTTTCGTGCTCGCCCGTTTCGAATTTGTTTTTATTTTCCCTTTGATCTTGGAAAAATGACTTCTCACGTCGAGGATAGCAGTAGCCGTACAATTTCTGAGGTTAGGATTTTTACCGACGAGTATTTAGAACTACCTCTTGAATATTATCGGTGGGATCCTATTCTCGTTCGAAGGCTGAACTTGAATAGGGACATAGTCGAAGTAGACAAGGTGGTAGAAGATAACGCGATGTCTCTGCCAGATTATCGGAAATATCTGTTACCCACCACCTGAGCCCATAAACTATTCCCCTTCGAAGTCAAACTCAGCAAGAAAAGAGAGATTTCGATATCGGGACTTCGAGTCGTGGAAAAGGAATACGGCAATGGCTACACAACTCGAACTTCGGTACACTTTTTAATCTACTGATCTCGATAAAGAAAACATTTGCTTTACTTAGTTTAACTCTTAGAGAGAGTATATTTGCAAAAATATATATGTTGTTGAATAACAGAAAGGATAAATTCCTGATTAGGTGAACCGAGCATTTTGACTGATGCCGACATTGTTATGCTTCGGGGGGAGGTTATATTCCTTCCTCGGTAAGGTTGTTTGCTCCATACCCGGGTGAAAGGATAACTTGCCATCCACCAGGCTGCGTGGGTATTTTTGCTGATTCGATAAGGTCGGGGTTAAGATTTCCACTCCCTGCTCTGATTACCGACTATCTGAGAGACTGGGGATTCGGTCTATGTCAAATAGCACCAAATACATGGAAAAGAATCATCGGCCTCATGGTGTTATTAAAGGAAAGAGGTTGGGAGATGCCAACGGCCGAAGAGATAAGGAGCCTTTTCACATTTAGAAGGTGTGCTGATAGGCAAGTTGCTGACCCGTTGATTTGTTATGCTTGCGCGGGGAAACCACAAGGTGGATTAAAAATCGGTGATTTAATCACCGAAGTCCCAGATTCTCTTCATGGATTTCAAGAGGAATGGCTTTGGGTCGGCGGAGACTGGCAGACTCCAAATTTTTCTAAACCACAATGCATATTGTAAGTTTTTTTTAACATCTCTTGTACCGAGTTAGTCTGACTCTCTTTATTTTTGTACTAACAGGTCAGCAATTTTACTATTTGCAGCCAGAAGAAAGGAAGTGAAGCTCAGTGCAGAATTGAAAAGAAGGATTTCTGAGCTATTCAAGTTGAAGAAAGGACAGCGCAGCTTTAAACTAGTTTTAAAGGATACAAGGTTAAAAGCTGCTGGCCTTTGTCCTGAGATCTCGGATGCTTGTTTTCAACCCGGTAAGTTCAAATCTTAAACTTTCATCTGACTTGAAGTCGGTTACTCTTGAAACTAATTATAACTTGGATATCTTTGCTTACAGTGTACTATCCACTTCTCGGAGTTCTCGGGTTTAAGACTATTCGTGACGCCCAAGCTTTTCGTCAAAAGAGCCCGAACTTAGATCTCCGAACTAAAGTCGGAAAAAGCAAAGAACAACGCTTATCGGAAATGGGTCGCAAGAAGTTAATAAAGGCTTTCCTAGCAAACCCGATCATGAATCCGAAAGAAATCGACGTTGGTGAAGGTGCAACGTCGGTTGCTGCTGCTGAAGTTACGCAACCAAATTTTCTGTCGGTTGCGACGTCTGGTCCGATAGAGGCTATTGCTGCTACTGCTGTGATTGGTTCGCCTGAAGTGGAACCAGCTACAGAAATTATTCAGCCTGAGGCCCCATCAACTGTTGAAGTTGTTGTTATCGAGCCTGAGGATAACCGAAATGTGGTTGAAGAGCATGAAGTTCCATTAACCCGACAGAGAAAAAGACGTGCCGATGGTGTCCCGGCTGTTGAGGGACGAACGAAGAAGAGGCATGATATCGGTCGGCAAGAAGGGAAGAAAAAGGAGCCGTTGGTTGATCGCTCATTCTTACTCATCGATTAGGAGAGGATGTTAAACTTCAGGCAGCCTCGGAAGTCGGTCAAAAAATGGTTCTCGACCTTTGAGTCAATGGAGATTCCCGAAATCACAAGTACCGTTGAGTTGCCGAGCCACGTTGTTGACGCTGCTCGGGTCCTGATGATGGTATGGAATCCGAGATCTGAGATTGGTGTGTCCTCTCTGCTGAGTGTGTATAAGTTTAAACACGCAAAAGCTTCCCTAAGCCGAGCTCTTGTTAGTCTTACGATGGCGGAAGATGATTTTCGTTTAAATGCAGCTCAAGTGGAAGAGAAGAAACATACACTTGAACTCAGAGATGAAGCCCTTGCATCTCTGAGGGAGGAAGCAACTAAAATCGAGGCTGCTCTGAAGATGAAAATCTCCGAGCAAGATCAGCAGCTTGTTATTACTCAGAGTGAGATCGAGACTCTGAGAACGGAGAAGGCTAGCCTTGATTCTGATGTACTTAAATTGACCAGTCAAGTGATCACCTCCGAGCAGCGTGTGAAGACGCTTGAAGAACAGTTGGCTCTGTGTGAATCACTACTTCGCAAAGAGCAAGAGGCTCAAGAGATTACTCGAAAAAGTCGGTCTGAGATCGAGGACTTGCTAATGAAGGACCGGGATGCTCACCGTGCCGACCTCAGCAGACTTCAAGAGGAGAAGATGAAGCTTGCTGAGGAAAAGTATAATGATGGTCTTCGAGCTAGGAAAATCCTTGAGGCAGAGGCCCACCGACTTCAGACCAAAGTTGAATCTGACTTCGAGGATGAAGACCGAGAGTTGGAAATGAATACTTGCATCAACCTTCGCTGGGTCGTCGAGCGGTTCGATGCCAGCCTTTATGATATTGAGGCGCTGCGTCAATATCTCCTCTTTAAGATCAGAAAGCATGACTTTCATTCAAAGATTGAGACCGCTCATATCGACGCTGATGAAGATGAGAAAGAGTTTGTGAATGGCTTTTGAAGTCTGCTGATGAAAATTCGGAAATTCCTCGCCTTCCCCTTTTGAGCAAAGAGAGAGATGCTCGCCTCCGTCGATCCTTTGTTGACATGCTCCTGGAAACCGAAAAGGAGAAAAGGACCAAGCTCGCCAACGTCTATGTGAAGACGTTTGCGGAAGTTAATATGGAGGAAGAGATTGAAAAGATGACCCCTGACCAGATTCGAAAGGCAGTTCTGGTTTTCCTCGAAGAGAAGATCCAAGAATTGTCTCAGGGCGTTAAGCAGCCGGAAAAGACTGAAGTTACTGAGAAAGATTCTGCTGTTGATGAGCATTTTCCGGTAACTCTCTCGGATGTTGAGAAGGCTGCTAAGGCAGAGGAAGACCGAGTGCTTGAACATATCAGCAGGCAAATGTCCAAGAAAATTACCGGTGAGGATGTGGAAGACTCATTGCGAGCTGACAAGGCTAATGAAGAAGCAACCAAGGATGATGATGCTTAGCTTGTTTTGAATTTCTTTTATTTCTCTACTTCTATTATCTCTTTTGAAGTGTTCCCGGCATGTCGAGACACAGTTTTTTTTTATCTAGTAGTTGTAATAGTTCTTTGAAAAACAATATCTTATGAATGAATGGCTTTTGGTTATATTGGTTTTCACTCATAAGTTCCCAAGTATATTGAACTCAGAATTTTGGATAAGTCAGTATTTTTTAGTTCCGACTACCATATTCAGCATGTCATTTTACTTTTGCTGAATTTTTTCAAGTGTTAAGATGTCGGCAAAGTGTTTTATTTTTATTTGTGGGCTTCATCAACTTAATTTTATTTATAAGTCGATGAAAATGGAATTTTTTCTTACTCAGATCAAACTTCAGGACCTGAATGTGAAGATACTTGTTCCATTAATTTAAAGCTGCCCCTTAACCTTCCTAAGCTATTGAACTTAGTCACTTGAAGGTTAATACTTTAGCCGAAAGGGTATATCTTGCCGAGTTATAGAGCTCGGTTAAGATCAAGATAATCCTTAAATTTTTTTTAGTAAAATATAAGTCTTGTCCAAGTTTAAAGGCTTGGCTACGTAAAGACTAATACTATACCGAGTTAAAGTTCTCGGTTCTTTTCGAGAGACTCTTTAGCACTCAAATTTCTTATATTCATCAAAAAAGTGTACAGAGTCATACATACATCGTAAACAGTTACTGGAAATACTTCTTCAGATAAACAGCATTCCAGGGATATGGAAGAGCAAGTCCGTCTGGCTTTTCAAGTCGGTAGGTACCTTTTAGAAGCACTTGACTTATCTTAAACGGTCCTTCCCATTTTGGTTTCAAAGGCCCCGGATCTGGTCCAGTAATTCTTTTAAGTACCAGGTCTCCAACTCGGAATGAACGAGGTTTTATCTTTGAGTTGATATACCTCTCACTTCTTTGTTTATAGGCAGCATTTTTGAGACCTGCCATGAGGTGAGTTTCATCTAAGAGATCCAAGTTGGTTTTCAGATTTTCCGAGGTAGTTTTGTCGTAGAAGTTTGTTACTCGGTATGTCGGGGATCCGAGTTCAACAGGGACAATAGCTTCTGATCCGTACGTTAAGGAGAAAGGTGTTTCCCCGGTTGCATGACAAACTGTCGTTCTGTAGGTCCATAATACATTTGGCAATTCTTCGGGCCAGGTCCCTTTTGCGGCATCAAGTCGAGTTTTTAAGCTGTTCTTGATTATCTTGTTAATCGCTTCGACTTGGCCATTGGATTGAGGATGATATGGTGAGGAAAAGAAGTGTTCTATCTAGTAATCCTTACAAACAGCTTCGAGTGGTTTTCCTTCAAACTGTCGACCGTTGTCGGTTATAATTGAACTCGGTACGCCAAACCGACATATGATTGATTTCCAAATAAAGTCGACAACTTTCTGTTCGGTAATCGTAGCCAATGGTTCAGCTTCAGCCCATTTTGTAAAGTAATCGACTGCTATAATAGCAAACCTTACGCCTCCCTTCCCGGTTGGAAGTGGACCGATTAAGTCGATTCCCCATCTTGCAAATGGCCATGGACTGTATACCGATTTAAGAGATTCTGGAAATTGATTAACATTTGGGGCGAATATCTGACATTTTGTGCATTTGCGAACCCAATTTGTTGCATCCATCTTCAATGTTGGCCAATAATATCCTTGTCGAAGTATTTTATATGCTAATGCTCGTGCACCATTGTGATTTCCGCAGATTCCTTCATGAACTTCTTCAAGGACATATCTCGACTCTTGCTCGGTTAAACATTTCAGCAGGGGAACAGAGTATCCCCTTTTATAAAGGATTCCATTATCCAATGTAAACCGAGCTGCTCGAATTCGAAGAGATCGAGCTTCTTTTGAATTTTGAGGTAAGGCCCCTGTTTCCAAGTATGTTACAATCGGTGTCATCCAAGTCGGTGACTCTTGTAACTCGGCATTCATGACTCCTTTAATTGAGGTCGATGGCAATTCTTGGTAACCGACTTGGACATACTCGACATCTTCCATTCCAGTGCTTGATGCAAGTTTAGAGAGTGCGTCAGCCGGGATATTTTGCGAACGAGGAATGTGTTCTAACTGAATATCAAGCTTGGACATTCTCTGTTTTACAAGCGTCAGATACGGTAACAATCGAGGTTCTTTAACTTCAAATTCTCCATGGACTTGGTTCACCAACAACTGGGAATCAGAAAATACCTTAAGCTTATCTACATTCATGGATTCTGCAAGGCTCAATCCGGATAGTAAAGCCTCGTACTCAGCTTCGTTATTTGTTACCGGAAAAAGAAATTTGACAGAATGGCAGAACATTTTGTTATAAGGGTCTATTAGGACGATTCCTCCGCCAGCTCGATGTTGAGTTAATGAACCGTCAACATACAAAGTCCATGTTTGATCTTCATTAACTATCTCGATTGCAGGAGTGAACTCAACAATAAAGTCGGATAGGACCTGGGCTTTTATAGCTGTCCTCGGTTTGTAATGGATGTCATATTGACCGAGTTCAATGGCCCATTTAACCAGTCTTCCTGAAGTGTCAGGTCGGTGAAGAATTGACTTTAAAGGGTACGAAGTGAGTACTGTTATCGAATGTTCTTGGAAGTAAGGATGTAATTTCTGAGCTGCGATAATAAGGGCATAGGCTAATTTCTCCATCGGTGGATATCGTAGCTCAGCTTCATGTAGTGCTTTATTGACATAATAAATTGGATATTGTTGATGTCCTTCTTCACGGATAAGGACAGCACTGATAGTAGTGTCGCTTACTCCCAGGTATAAGTACATCATTTCTTCAGGTACCGGTTTCTGTAAAGTTGGTGTTTGAAGAAGTATTTCTTTGATCTTTTCCAGAGCTTTTTTGGTCCATTCGAAGTATTTTCCCTTCTTTATTGACTCAAAGAAAGGTCTGCATCGGTCTGTTGACTTTGATATAAACCGATTTAAAGCAGCAAGTCGGCCGGTAAGAGCTTGAACACCTTTGACTGATGTAGGAGGTATCAAATCCATAATGGCTTTTATTTTCAAGGGATTAGCTTCAATACCGCGTTGAGTCACGATATATTCCAAGAATTTACCAGAACCTATTCCAAAAGTGCATTTCTTTGGATTCAGCACCATGGAATAATCCCTGAGGATGTTGAACATTTCTCGCAGATGATTAACATGATCAACACCGAGAACCGACTTGACCAACATGTCGTCGACATAAACTTCCATAAGTATGTCCAATGAGCTTGGCAAACATTTTGTTAACCAGCCTCTGATATGTGGCCCCGGCGTTTTTGAGACCAAATGGCATCATTGTTTAACAATACCGACCTCGAGCAGAATAAAAAGATGTATGTTCTGCTTCCTTGGGATCCATTGGAATTTGGTTATAGCCCGAGTATGCATCCATAAAGCTCATCAGTTCATGTCCCGCAGTAGCATCTACCATGTAATCGATATGAGGTAGTGGATAACTGTCCTTTGGACAAGCTTTATTCAAGTCGGAAAAGTCGATACAGAGTCGCCAAGCTCCAGAACTCTTCTTTACCAGAACTGGATTA